AAGTGGTGGCATAAATGCTTCTGGGCATGCTCAGTTCACTATTACAGTGAGCCAGGTTTACTTAAAAGAGTAAGAGTAACCTCATGACGTTGGCTGGCTCTAAGTTTCTGCAAAGAATTTTAGCTGAAACAAAAAGAAAGAAAGAATAACTTGGCAGGTATATTAACATTCTTTAAAGGAGTTTTCTCCTCTTTAGTGTAGAAATTTGCCCTTATCACAAATGAAGCTAGACTAAGTGTGTTATTCTACATTTTTTGCTATTGCTTTGGATTTGCGCATTAAATCTTACAGCATGTCTTTACTGTTCCTCCATGTCAGTACACATGAATGTAACTCGTTTCTCGAAGTGATTATAGTGTAACGCATTGCCTTGTTGGGTTTCTTATGTTTCATTGACTCTTGTTCCTTTCGTTCTTTTCTGAGCATTCATTCAGAGTGTTTCCAGTTTTTTTTCTCTTAGTTCTCTCTCTCCCTCCTCTGCAGCATTTCTATTGTTTTTCCTTGTCTTTTTCTTTGAAGGTGGACCCTACACACAATGCCGCAATTGGGATATATTCTCCTACAGATAAACCTCATTACAACTTGTATGATTTTCTAAATTATAAATTCAAAAAGGGGAATTGCTCGCCATGATGCTACAAATAGCTTGAATTTGGGCTTTTACAGATCGCATTGTAAGACTTGATCCATTCCAGCTGGGGTGCACGTATTGCCTGATTGCCGTTTCTCCACCTAGTCATCAGTGTCAGTGGTTATTAACGGTTCGTTCTGTCACACTAATTGTGTAGAAGTGTTATTGCATAGGTGTCTTAATTTCCATTCTCCTGATTATCACTGGGGTTGGACAAATATGTTTTGTGTTTGATGTTTTCCTTTTCACAAGTTGCCCATTCATGTTCTTTGCACAATTTTAGACTGAGTTGTTTCTCTTCTTTCTTATCTGTCTATTGGAATAGTAGCTCCTCGCCTATTCCATGTATTGCAAATGTCCCATCATTGTTTTTTTTTTTTCAGTATTGTTTTTGGTGCAGTGGATCTTAAAATGCTTTTTTGTAATTAGTTTATTATACGGCTTTTGAGTTTTCTGCCTAACAACAAGTTCTTCTCTTCCCCAATCCTGAATTTAGACATATACGGTAACCTTTCATATTCTACCCTATTTCTCTTACACATTTTCATACCCAGTCTCTTCAGAACTGATTGCTGTAGTGGAGTGACATGTGAATCTGTGTTCTCCTCCAGCTAAGAGCCAGCAGAGCAGTTCTGGTGATTTAATTAACCACAGCCTTCCCTGTGGATTGAGACACCAGTCAGCTCTGAGTGAAGAATTACAGGGCTGGGTGGATTCAGGCAGAAAAAGACCAAAATCCTGTTTCCCAATTCCTCACCCCTCCTTGGCCACATGTGGCTAAGACCTGTCCCTGGAAAAGCCCTTTCTACACCAACTTCCTAAAAGAAGAAAACAGACAGTTTCCAGAGTGAGAACTGAAGAAAGGGACACAGGATTTTCTGCCCCATCCTCCTAAACACACACTTGTTTCTGTTCCTGCAAGCCGGGCTATCAAGCCAGCATCTTCCAGGGAGAGTCGGGAGACCAAGTCACATCTGGCCTCTCACAGCAGCCCACAGAAAGGCACCCCAGAGCCTAGCATTTGTGCGGTCACTTCCACTGCATGAAATGCTCAGACTGGCTGAAAGCTCCTGCGCAGAGGAGCTAGCGGCTTCCTGCTTCACCTGGGAGCCAAGACAAGTAAAACCTGGGTGGCTCACTTCTGGTCAGGCCTTGGCATGCAGGCTAAATGCACTTGGTTGGTGTTTGCCAAACAAAATGGAAAGCTGGAAAGCTGGTTTGGTCACTTTTTTCCTTTTTCTCCTTTCCCTTCTTTCTTTTCTCCTTCATTCTATTCTCTCCTTAGTTTCTTCCACCCACCCTTGTCCCCTCCCTCCCTCCTCTATTTTTTCTTCCTTCCTTCCTCTTGCTCTCTCCACACATGGGAAGGTGAGACCAAGAAGATCCCAGAGAGCTCTTTTTCTTGAGAGAGAACATCAACAACCCGCCTTGTGTTTGATCAACACTTAAAGTGGCTGCAAATACTCTCACTCCTCATTTAAATTTGTATCGATTTCCCAAATGAGAAACAGGCAACCCAAATAAATTATATAAATAGAGTTAATCAGGATGGAGCTGGTGCACAGGAGGAATCTGGTGCCAGAACACCGGATTCTGCTGATGTGGAAAAGCTGCTGGAATGAAATATGTATGCTTTGAAGGGAGGAAAATAAACAAAAGCCAGTCCCCGAGAAGTCAGAATTACTGAGAAGTGAACCGGCGTCTCCTTGAGCAGAATTGCTCAGTGGCTGGTAAGACCTGGAGGTGGGGGTACATGGATCATTAGCAACGCCTTCTGGAGAGCAAGTTGCAGGAATCCTATATGAGTGAGGAAAACCTCTGCTTATAATGGGTGGATGGTCTTTTCTTCAACACACGGAATTTCAAAATGAACAATTCATTGCCCTAGGGGGAAAAAAAACAGGAGGGAGTCTGGGTTTAGTCTTTTTGGTTCATGTCTTGTAGCAGACATCTGTAGTTTTTGTTTAAGTCTTTACAGTTTTGACTTAAGGAACTTCACGAGGGGAGTATAATACGGGCTTAGCCAATCTGCATTCCCATTCTCCTGGGGGCCAGTTCGGGGATGGATTGAATCTATCCAAACATAAATATTTGTGTTGCCAACACTGCTTTTGCCTTCTTGAGTGATTTCGTTGTCAATATTTAAGTCATAAGGATATTTGACATAAAATCTTGGGATTTCTGGTTTCTCTTAAGAAGTCAACTCATCAGGTAACTCTGAACCCCTCTTCCTGGAGTTGAACAGTGTCTCACATTTGAGAGTGCATCCAGCCACTGTCATTTACTTGGCTCTTTCCTGTATGCATTTTCATTTCTGACATGGTCTAAGATAACCATTATAGAATTTTATTTCGCAGTATCCATAGTGATAACCACTTCAGATACGGTCTGGCCAAAATTATACCCTTACAGATCAGGCTCTGAGAGGGGAATATAGTTGTCTGAAGTCACACAGCAAGTTAGAAGCATGCATGAGAAAAGAATCCAACATAATTTTACACCAACTTTCAGAAACTGGCCACACACTTGAAATTTCATACTGGGAAGGGCTAATTTCCAAGGACCTGCTGCAAAAGTAACATTCTGTCATGCAATCCAATCCATTGAAGGATCTAATATTGGGAATTCAGGTAGCAGAACCAAGTCTTCTCTTTCAAATTGCTTTTCACATGTGGTGGCCAATTCTTATGCTTAGGGCTACATATGAAAAATTTCTTTCCCATCGTTAATAGGCACAGGGTGACATCCCCAAGTCTTTCTGCAATGGGTGTAATTTCTAAGCTTACAAGTGGAAAGAACAGTCTTCATTCACTTGTTTATCCATTCTGTATTTGCTGAGCATTCTCTGGATGCCCTGTGGTGAGTCCCTGACTTATAAACATTGGAGTTGAGACCTTTCACAGGTGCACTATCTAAGACTCACTGTCAGCTTGCCGGTGAATCTGACTGAGGAACAGCCCTCCTGGAGTGGAGCCCATCTGTAAGTTAGGGACTTGCTGTAGAGCAGAAACTTCCTGAGACACAAGATTGGCCCCGTGTGAGGCTCACATGGACACAGGAGAGACCACCTGCCGCTGGAGGGATCTTGTGAGTCACCCTTCAATGGCAAGCAGGAATCCAGGTCAGCAGCCAGAAACTGAGACTCGCCTTGGTTGGTCCCCACACTTGAAAATTTAAACTTAAAAAAATAATTCAACATTTATTATAAAAATCCAGACTTCCAGGTTTTCTACAAACATGGATTTGAACACAGAGTCTACAATCTCTCACACAACAGTCGGTGTTTCTGGGTGGTAGCTTCTCCTCTCAGAGGAAGCACACCCTCCCCATTGTGTCGCACTCTCACCCCGCCCCAGCTCAGGGTTCCTGGCTCCCATCATAAAGTTATGGCGCCTGTCTCTGCCTGTTCTCTCACGGGATTCGAATTGATTTCCCCTCATCTAGCTTTTCAAAGAGTGCAAGATGGCCCCAGGGAGAGGTGAGAAATCTGTGTGGGCAAAGACACAGAAGTGGAAATAAGAGAAGATATTTAGGAAAACTGTTAGTGGTTTCACATCGTGGGCAGATGATCACAAAGTAGGACAGTGATTAGGCAGCCTTAAAACTAGAAAAGTAAACCAGAGCCAGGTTGCACAAGGAAGTTCTCTGTGTTGGGCCATGGACTTTTACAGAACTCTGAAAGCAGAGCCTTGGGACTCTTGCCAGGGGAGGGCTGTAGCGTATATGTTTGGGGAAGAATACGGTAAAGAGAATGAAGTCAGCAGAGGAAGGAGGCTGGGAGACCCTTGAGCAGGATTGGAAGTGAGGGACCCAGCCATCTTCAGCTCATGTCCGGAGTGGACATATGACATGTGTTTATTAATGAGTCAGAGATTAGTGATAAAGTCTCGAGGGTAAATTAAGAGTCGCCACAGTGGCCATGTAGGCTTCCCATGGCCAAAGTTGGGCACATGGTCATGGAGAGGGAAAAGCTGAATACTTTCTAATCTATAAAATGCTCTGTGGCTAAGTACATAGGGATTTAGAATGTCTTAGTAGTAATTACATTATAATGCCCTAGGTGACCCCAGGGTACACTCAGAATTAATGGGCCTACCAGTCTCATTTCCTTCTTAGGGTCCCAGGGCCTGCCTTCAGAAATGAGCATGCTTAGTACACAAAATGATACCCCAGGGGAGCAGAAGAGCGATTGCTGCTCTCAAAGGTGAGCTTGAGGTGAACGCCAGCCCCTGGAGAATGTCTTGGGCTCACTGATTGGGAAACACTGCGGTGACCGAGGCAGAAGGCGCTCCACATGCAAAGAACATTATTCCAAGCAAACGAGAGAACCAAGCAATTATTTCTGCTCAAAAGTTGGTAATGAGTAGGCATGTTATTTATTTATTCATTCATTAAATGTAGGCAAACAAGCAGCCAGAGAGGAAGCCGTCTGGCCATACTTTTAATGAATCTTCCCTGTTTCTGAGTGAAATGTGGGCCATGCAGATGAAATGCTGAACTCAAGAAACAGATTCCCCACTCAAGAAGCCATCTTTCCAGCCTTAATTAAAGAAAATCAACAGCTCTTGCTTGCAGTGGATGATGACGGAAATCAAGTATAGGAGCTTAAATACTGACTTTCTAGGCAGGTTGGGCTGGGCTCACAGAGGCTTGGAAACCTCGAGTTTGTCTGAAAGATTGTGGCTTGGATGCTTGGGAAGTTGGTGACTCCAGGGGTGGCCAAGATGTTTCATGGAATGGATGTTCTTGCAAAGCATCAAATACTTTTGATGACACTGTCGTGATTCAATAATTCATTCAATTTTTCATTTGTCCGTATGCCCATTCAGTCTGTAAGCAGGACAGACTGCCTATTCTTCGCCAGGTGCTGTACGATGGACATAAAATGCTAAACGAAAATAAACACCACCTCAGTTCCATTTAGTAGAGGAGATGGTTATTAAGTAGATAATCACACACATGTAATTACAAATTGTGATAAGAGCTCTGAAAAGAAAACACAAGGTACTGTGCAGACACGTAACAAGTCTGGAGAATTTGAAGTAGTCTGCAAGAATCAAGACAGATCTCCCTGGGGCATAGACTCTTGGGCTGGAATCTTAAGGAGGTCAGACAGTGTCTGGATGAGAACCAGGGGGAGGGGAGAGGGTGAACAATCCAGATGGGGTCTGCACGTGCCGATAGTAGCGATGGACGAGAACATGAGAGCCTAAGAAAGTGCCCCTGGGCCGTGTTATCATCATTCTTCCATGCCAGGCAAAAAGAGTCTCTTTATATGATTCAGTAAGGAGACATGTGTAAGCTAGGCTGGAAACTGACGTGCTGGTACAAGACTGGGTTTGAGTGTGCTGGTGTAAGTGCCAGGTAGACTGATGAGAAACCTTATTTCATTGTGGTAGCCTCTCCAGAGAAGGACTGGGTTCTCTGTGGAGCCCTCCACTGTTGTAGAAGCCTGGTATCTGATTCTGCCATCACATTAGCACCTCTTGCCAGGTGGGCTGTCCCCACCTGGACTGAACCCACAGTCTTGAGTTTTTAGGGAAAAGCTCCCACACTCCTCTGTTTCATGAGGAGGCCAAGCTTCAGGGCCTGGCCCTGCTGCTGGTGTGACTTTGAGCAAGCCAGTACATCTCACTGTGCCTCTGTTTCCTTGTCTCCAAGCTGGTTAAACTTTAAAGGGCTATCATCAGAAAACTGGAAAACACTTGGGAAAAATGTCTGCCCTGTAGCAGAAATGGCATAAATGCTAACTATTATTATTTTCAAGGGACCTCATCCCTATTTCAGGCCAAGAGACAAAAAAGAAAAATTACCTCACTAACATCAAAGTGGGATGAATAGGAGTGTGTGTGTGTGTGTGTGTGTGTGTGTGTGCATGTGTGTTCCATGTTGTTAGCCACAAATGACAGATAAACACTCCTGGGATGGGTCAGTTTTGTGTTGATGTGACAAAATCTCTGAGGATAGGTACTTTAAAAAGTGAAGAGGTTTACTTTTCTCATGATTCTGATGGCTGGAGGATCTAAACAGAAGTGTGCACATGGTGGAAAAAGGGAAAGGGAACCAGCTGTGTGCAAAAGGACCAGCCACACAAGATGGAGTTTCTTTACAATGGCGCATTTTGAGAGAATTACCCAGGTCTTGTGAGAACTACATTAATCCCTTCTAAGGTGGTGTCCCTGCATCCTAATTACCTTGGACCGGGACCCACCTCTTAAAAGACTCAGTACCCCAACATTGACACCCTGAGGATAAAGCTTCTAGCACACGAACCTTTGCGAGACACATCCGAGCATACCCAGACCGCAGCAGAAGTGTGAACGATGCGTGCCAAGGTGAGTGCCCTTGGCCGTGTCTAATGCAGGGGTCTTTGAGGATCTTCCAAGTTGGAGTGGCCGGAGGTCAGCAGGCTCCAAGTCTCTTAACAGTCACCTGCTAATGGTGTAAGAGCAACTGCATGGGGCTCGCCCCCGTAAGAATGTCTCTGAAACATGGTAATTCCCCAGCTCCCCATGTCTCCCACAGCCCTCCCACCTTTCAGGGTTGGCTGGGCACAGTGTGCTGCATTCCGCTCTGAGATAGCCCTCACCTCACCTTCATGCTCTCAGCCTCTCTTTCTGCTCTGAAAAGCCTTTTTCCCCTTCTTCCTCTCATCCACAGACAATGTGCAGAGTGTTCATTTTCGAAGATGTGGCCTATGCATTGTGCCTCAGGAAAGCACATCCTGGACAGGCTTCACCCCCATCCTCTTAAAGTCAGTGTGCTCGTCCTTTCTTCCAGACTGAATTGCATACATACCCTGTCCGGCCATCTGTAATGCTTTACTAAATGTATCAAGTGCTCCAAACTGACTCTAAGAAAATCCTTACAAATCAAAGTCCTGCATGTCTTTTGTATGCCCAGTGTCTAGGACAATGCTTGGTGTTCAGTCAGTATTCAACAAATCTTTGTGGGACTGCTGAACAAACAAAGGAAATGTGAAAATCTATTTTCACATCCCTTGAGTATGAAATAAATAAACTGTCCACAAATGACTGCTTGGAAATGAGTGCTTATTCTCTTTCCACAAGTTTATTAATGGAATGCTACTCAGCCATTAAAAGGAACAATTCCAATGTGTGCAACAGGTTGGATGGTTCTCAGGAGAGTTCTGCTGAGTAGAAAAAGAATTCCCAAAGGTTGCGTATGATGTGATTTCATTTACAGAACATTCTTGATAAAGGAACATCATAGAGCTGTGGAACAATTTAGTGGCTACCTGGAGTTAGGGAGCCACAGGAGCAGGACAGAGAGAAATCAGCAGCAAGGAAAGAAATCACACACACACACACACACACACACACACACACACACACACGTGCGCGCAATGAAATCTCACCACACTTCCGCCAGCACGGCTGAAAGTCGACTGACAACACCAAATGCTGGCAAGGGTGGTGGAGCTCATTAAACTCTACCACACTGCTACTGGGAGCGTTCATCAGTGCAAACACTGTGGGAAAATGTTTTAGTGATGATAGTTTCTATCAAGGCTGAAAAATACGTGCAACTTATGACCCAGCATATTCATTCCCAGGGTTATAATCCAACATAAAAATACACACAATCACAAGATATGTCTTACATTACCTGCAGCTGTACCTTTTATCCAAGCTCCAATCTTCAAACTGCCAAATGTACATCAGAGGAAGAATGGATAAATCGTAGTTCATTCCTATTCATTGTCTTAGCCTGGGCTGTTCAACAAAATGGCACAGCCTGGGTGGTTTCCTAGCAAACATTTACTTCTTAGCAGTTCTGAGGGCAACAAAGTCCAAGGTCAGAGTGCCTGTGGATGAGCTGTCCAGTGAGGGTTTGCTCCCTGCCAGCTTTTCTGTGGTGCACGCAGGAGGGGAGCAGCGGGGTGCCTGGGATGGGGGTTCTCATTTCTCTCCCTTTTCTATTTTTTTCCTACATTTTTTCTTTTTATTTCATTAAAAAAAGAAAACAAACTTCTGTAACTAAATAATAAGGGAATAACAATAGTTACTATGCCACGTTTCATGTAGTCAGTACAATACGTAAAACCAAAAAAAGTCTTTCTGAAAAGAAACAGGTAATAACACAAACTTTCTTTTCAGTGAACTGGATAAACTATTAGTATAAGCATATACAGTGAATATTTTTAAAAGAACAGAATATATAGTTTGGGAAATATTTGAACTTTGCTCTACTTCCTATCTGTCTCTCATCTTTGTTGCTCTATTTTTTTGTCACAGAAGAGAAGCCATGGATATTTGATCTTGTGTGCCTGACTTCTTTCACTTAACAGTATATTCTCCAGTTACACCCGTTTAATAGGTTCCCACCCTGATGGCATTGTAGAAGCCTAATCACCCCGAAATTAGTTTGGGGGAAAAACAAACCCTCAGTCCGTAGCCCCCGTGCTGGAAGACTACACAGCCAGATGCTCAGTGAACCCATATAGATGGGTTCCGAATCCTCATGCTGAATGGTAGAAACAGACACTCGGAAAGATACGCTGTGTGGCCCCACAGCGGGCTTCATCTGTGCTGCCAGAAGTCAGGGTGGTGGTGGTTATGTTCGAGGAATGATGGGAAAGGAGCACAAAGGGGACATCTAGGGCTATGCTGTTGTTCTGTGTCTCCACTGGGGCTCCTATTTCAGAGGTGATTTCAACTTTGTAAAAATGCACTCAGTTGCTCACATGGGATGTGTGCACTTTAGTATATTATACACTTTAGTAAATATGTTCAAAGGAGAAAAGGCCATTTTGTCCCATAGTCAGTATTTATTAGGGTTCCAGACACTGTAGTAGGGTCTGGGAAGACCCATAAAGATAATAAACCAATAAAGACGAGGATGCCCTGCACTACGGAGGATCCCCTTATTTTCTTGTCTTGCCAAGAGCTCCGAGTAGCAGATAAGATCAAGAGAAACTTTTCTGATAGTGGTGGCTGCGGTTTTAATTTGTTATCAAGCTAAAACGACTTGCATCAGACACTTTGCCTTGTCTTTGAAGCAGAGTAGCAGAGATTTCTTGTAACGTACTTACTGAACTCCAAGCCTTGAGCTACAGCATCCTTTGGACATTTCCTTTTAAGACCTCCTGAAACTTATTTTCAAACAAGAGAAGAAAAAAACTGTCAAATATAATTGCTGTAAAAGGAAAGAAAAAATCTCTGCATTAGGAAACCTGCCTTTGGGAATTCAAAAATAAAACTGTTCGTCTAGAGGAATCCTTGTTTGCCTCACATGGAATTATCTCGGCTAGGAGGAAACTCTCCATCTGTGTTTGTGGCCCTCACTCCGGGCAAATGGATCCCCCTCCGCTGGACAGATTACCTCTGGTCCCTGAAATAAAGGACAATTCATGGCTTTCCCTGTGAGTCGGTGAAAACAGTGTATCTTGTGGTTCCATCCATTATAATCCTGTAATTTGCAAAACACAGGAGGCATTAAAGCGGGGATAATATCACCTTCCCATGCCAAAGATGGAAAAGAGAATTAATGAGACCAATAAAGCTACTCTCACAGGAAATAGAAACACAGATGGGTAACGGGGGCGGAGCTGGCAAAAGCCTGCAGGCTTGGGGAACTGACTGCAGCCTGCTTCACAGCCAGTACTGTTCCACGGAACCATTAGCCAGCCTCAGCGCCCCCCAGCGGAGCCCACCTGGGCAAGGTGCAGAGTCTGGCAGGAATGGGAAATCCATCAAAAGGTCAGTGGGTATTGAGCTACAGCGCCATGTGCTTGGCACCAAGCAGACACCGTGGAGATGCAGAGAATTATGACATGTTGCCTGTTTGTCAAGGAGCTTATGGTCTATTTTAAAAGAAAGTCAGATGTCCTCACCACGGTCATGCCTGGGGCAGGGGGCTAGACAGCTGACCAGTATTTATAATAAAAATGGTATTAGGAAAATCTGAGCCTCTCAAAGACGCTGAATGCATAGGGTAGGGAGATAGGCGTTGCATCACGGAGGAAGGAAATCAGCACATCTCCCAGTATATGCATTAGGTCCTCAAAATGATTAGAAAGAAAAATACAACTACACTCTATGTGCAGGTGGGGAAACCAAGGCTCCCAGAGTGAAACTCAGTTTTCCCCAGGTCCACAGCAGGCAAGAGGGACAAATCAGATTGTCAAGTACATTCACGCTTTCTCCCCGTAGTGTTCTCATCCCTGGAAGTGGAGTCCCCCTGACAGAGGCAAACCATAGGTCAAAACCACATGCACAGGGCCCCAGTACAAACAACAAAAACAAACAAACAAACAAATAAACAAACCACATGCAGAGCTGGGCTTGGTAGTGAACATCTGGAAGCCTAAGCAAGGAGGATCCTAAGTTCAAGCTCACCACAGGCTATTTAGCGATTTAGCAAGAACTTAATCTCACATAAATAAATAAAATAAAAAGAGCTGGGGCCGTACCTCAGTGTGAAGACCCTGGGTTCAATCCCCAGAGCCACGAAATAAAACATTTTTTGCTTTTTCACTCTCAAGCCGAGGAGACAGGGAACTCCACATAATGCTCGCAAGCTTGCTGCAAGGTTGTACGAGGGTGGCCTTGGGTGAAGAAGGCCATCGCCTGGCACAGTGTAGTGGTCCTCACCTTGAAAAGCCCGAGAGCCCAGTGAAAGGGCAAGGCCTGATGAGAGGGATTTGGAGACGGGCGGTGGTCCCCAGGCAGGCTTCTGTCCCCACGGGGGTCTGGCTTGTCTGTGCTCCTCAGGAAGTTGTGCTCTGGATAAACGCAGGAAAGGGAGGGAGAAAGGCAGGAAGGAGAGAGAACACAGACAGAATGGAAGGTCAGATGGGAGGAAAGAGGAGTAAAGAAGAGAGAAAGATGGAAGAGAGGAGAAGGAAAGGACAGAAAAAAAGTGGTGCTGGGCAGGAGACGGAGGAAGGAAGGAAAGGAGTGAAATAGGAAGGGAAGCAAGGGAGGGAGACAAGGAAAGAGGAAATCAGAAGAGACAGAGGAAGGAGGGAAGGAAGGGAGGGAGAGGAGAAAGAAGGGAGGGAGAGCAGAGCCTCAGACGCCTTCTGCGCAGTGCCGTCCATACCCCCCAGTGTTGTTCATCGTTTCTCTCCTCCCACCAGTGCCTCTGAGATTAGCTTCTCTGTGACACCCCCATCTTCTCCTCTCACTAATTTTGTTTCTGGTATTTTAATTTATCGCATTTTCATGGGGACCTCTTTCCCTTTAAGGCATTGTAATTAATGGGCTGGTCTAATTTCCTCTGAGACAGAATTCTTAATTGCGGTGATTCTCGCTTATGCCTTTTAGGCATCCCTGCTGGCTTAGGTTCATTGGCGTTCGCGTTCCAAAGCTCTCCCATTATAAATACTGTACACCATCAGGGGAGCCGGTCTCGCTTCCACGCCACACCACCACTCGCTGTGGTGAGCTTCCTGGGCTCTCTCTGCCTTCCAGCCCATCGCGGACAACTAAAAACCAGCTCACTCTGAGGTATAGCGGAATTTTTACAAACTTCCACAGAAAGAGTGAGCTGCTGTTTCTTGGAAAGTAAGCACTGTGTATTAATAATTAGCTTCATGGGTGAACTTAAAGTCGCTTTTGTGTTCCTCTTTAAAAATTAAAAGCACACAGTACTTATAGAAGACACCTGAGTTCTTGTCACATTTTAGGGGCCCTGGGTGACAGACAGTAAGGGTGAGACTCCTGTCCCCACCCAGGAAAACAGTCTACTGCAAAGCTATTGACCAACATACTATTCTCCCAAGCCAAATGCTAGCGACCATTGATTTGTGTCATTTTGGAAAATCACTATAATTTTGACATTTTTCGAATGTGATGTAGGCAATGCCCCTGAAGTTTTGATTCTAGTTTTTGCTTATTTCCCCAGTTAGGTCTGCCTGTTTCCAAGTCTCGTTAAACTTGCTTTCATGTTATGCAATATATATTACTTTCTACATTTTATCCTAGCTCCCATCACATACCACAACACCCTCCCCTTTCTCAAGAAACAAAGAAAGCACTTTGGAGTAAACAAGACCCCCCCAAAAAAAAAACCCATCAACGACACAAGAAGACAACCATTGTGGTTTCTAAGCAAGGTGTCGAATGCTTGGGTTCCCCGCTCCTTGTTAGCATGCACAGCAACAGGGGGACATGTTGTCCACTGTCCCTTCTATGGCCTACTCATCATCTCATGGCACAGTGCAGGAGGGGTAGAGTCACCCCTTGGTGTCCCTGTTCTGTGAGCATCCGTCAGAGATACTGGCCTAGCACCGATCCACACCCAGCCTGGGGCTGAAGTGAGTGAGAGGGATGTCCTGTGCAGCGTCACAGGTGTTACCTGACAGGCCCACATAGACTTACACAGCTGGGAAAGCCAGAAACCCTGCTTTCCCCTTCCCAGATTCCGCCCCAGGAGTATCACCAGAGCTGCCCACAGTCAGACGTCCCTTCCTGGGTACCCCGCTGTGCTAATCCAAGAGAAGATGTGGTGTCTGTGGCCATGTGGGTGGCTGTGAAGTCCATTGCTCTTTGGTGATAACCTAATGTAGTTGGTTTTCTGTCCATTGTGGCCCATGATGTTATGATTGTATGATAGAATCCATTGGAAAACCAGGAGTTAACTTTCTATCACATCTTCTTCTAAGAGCCCACTTTTGTCAGATGGACAGTTGTTATTCTGTTACCGCCATTGCAGTGTTTTTCATTTTTATTGCAGTAAAATGCACATGACATAAAATGTATCACCGTAACCATTTGTAGTATATAATCCTGTGATATTGCACTCTTCCCTATGCCCCATCCGTCTCCAGAACCTTTTGCATCTCACAAAATCAAAATTCTGTGTCCACTAAAAAACAACTCGCCATTTCCCAGCTTCCCCAAGCCCTTTGCAACTCTCAGTCTCCTTTCACTTTCTATTTTTGACTCTTCTCCCAGTCACATATATGTGAAATCACCCAGTACTTGCTTTCCATGCCTGGCTTATTTCATTCAGCCTGTCATTCAGGGTCACCCATGTCTTAGCAGATGTCAGAGCTTCCCTTCCTTTTCAAAGTTGAATAATATTCCACTGCGTGTATATGTTGCATTTTACTTATGTGTTCATCCTCTGGTGGGCACTTGGTTACTTCCATGT